TATTAGGGCTCGGGTATTCTACATTGGTGGCAGCGGATGCGTTCGAATAACGCGAATCGAACCCCAGCCCTTTCTCTTCAACGGTCAACAGAGGCGAAGACCTTTAAATGCCAGCTGAAATTGTCATGGCGGTCATCCGATGTCCAATAAGCTGGATCCATAGACATTGCCCGGGATTAGGGCTACTGCATCTGAAGAGGCATTGGCAACTCAGCGACGACGACTTGGACAGTGAAAGCCAGCTGGACTGCATCTGCGAAGGACCTTCAATGGATGATGAGTCTTTCTTGCAAGTCTACAAGAGCAAAGTCCCTCGTCAACTATTCGCATGTGCCACTATCCTGCCAGATGTGGGGTGCGGGATTTGTCGAACTGGATATTTTACCAACACTGGAAATCAACAACAGTGCGGTGAACCAAGCCAGAAGCTGAGGACAGCTTCAGTCCTGAGGGGGAGGCAGTGTGGCGTGGGATTAGGGCGCAGACATATTGGACCACGAAGAGCCTCAGCCAATCCTGTGTCCCTCTGCATTCCAATGGCATGCGAGGAAGATAAGCAGGTAACCAGAGAAGAACACAACTGAGGTGCAGTATATAATGAGCGGCGTGGCCAACGTGGGGACTCGGATGGAAGGCGCCTGACGTGAGGCTCTGGCTTCTGATTGGTCAATAAAGCCTGTTCTGTTGTACCGGTCTTTTACCTATTAGGGCTCGGGTATTCTACAGTAGTGTGGGGGCAGAAGGACGCCATCTTGGCATACAGCTATTGGTTGGGAGCCAGTGGCGCGTCTTGGGGGCGGCATCACCCGATTTCCGATTGCGAGGAGCATTTTACGTTTCAAATGGGGCGCCAAAGCCCGGATAGCCAATCACCTCACGAGAGTGTCTTTCAACTTCTAGAAGCCAAGCCGGAGCCGATAAGCGGACAGGAGCAACCTGGACCCAGTATATAAGAAATCCCTTGTGAACACTAAACCTTAACCCTGATGTTGAAGACTATCTTTGTATTTTCTGTCAACATACCTGCATAACTGTCCATTAGCTCTCTTATCATGCCCTGGCGCGCAACACTGGAAGCTTCGAGGACTGGGTTATTGGGCATGAATCAACACAATTCCCTACAAGATTATACTTTTTTTAAAAAAAAAACAACCAAAAAGTTTATATTTTTGTCAAAATAAATCATCATAGAATCGGGGGTGGTTTTGTTTCAGATATATTTTCAATTTAAAATATTGGATATGTTTAAAAAATTTTTAAAAATTAACAAATATTATTAAGCTTAATGCCCTAATTCAATGCAAAAATACTCAATGACGAACCGCAGATTTCATTTCATGTTGGTTGCTGTTCGGAGCCAATAGCCAAACAGGTGCAGCATGAAGACAAAACATCGTGTGCATGTGTAGAATACCCGAGCTCTAATAGGTAAAAGACCGGTACAACAGAACAGGCTTTATTGACCAATCAGAAGCCAGAGCCACGCGTCAGGCGAT